TTGTACACGACCAGGTATAGCTTGTGCTATAAGTAAATTGAGTCGATACACGAGTAATCCAGGTCAATCTTATTGGATGGCAATAAAACGAGTTTTGGGATATTTAGAACATACCCAGGGCTTTGCTTTGCACTACAGTAAATATCCTGCAGTGATAGAGGGATACTATGATGCAAAATGGATCACTGGTTCAACTTATTCTAAGTCCATAAGTGGATATGTGTTCACTATTGGTGGAGGAGCGGTATCTTGGAAGTCATCCAAACAAACTTGTATTGCCCGCTCTACAATGGAGGCTGAATTCATAGCCTTGGATAAAGTCGGTGAAGAAGCTGAATGGCTCCGCAATTTCTTGGAAGATATTCCATTTTGGCCCAAACCGTTGGCACCAATATGCGCACATTGCGATAGTCAAGCGGCAATTGGAAAGGCTGGGAGCATTATGTATAATGGTAAATCTCGTCATATACGACAAAGACATAAAACCGTTAGACAATTACTCTCTAGAGGAATTATCACGATTGACTATGTAAAGTCAAGTGATAATGTGTCGGATCCACTTACAAAAGGCCTAACTAGAGAGGTAGTTGAGAAATCATCAAGGGGAATGGGACTATGGCCGTGAACAAGTCATAGTGGCGATAACTCTACCTAGAAGACTGGAGATCCCAAGATCTAGGTTCAAGAAGATCAAACAAAGTCATTAATGACGGTTCAATATTGTCAACTAAACTTTTGGTCCATTCTCGTGATGAAACAATGTTCAGTATCAAAGATAAAATATTAAGGCCTTTTAGTGATTTCTAAATTTGATACGGGGTATATCAAATAGTGTATATATGGGATGACACATTTAGGAATCACCTATGTAAGTGTGAAGTGTTAGCCGCTTCTAGGAGAACTTTGTAAGGCCAGTTCTCTACGCACTTATGAAACTAGGCGGTGTTCATGCCTGAAACGAACACAATAATGAGAACCAAAGACGGTTAAGGGTTGGTTGTGTGACTTGTGGTTGCCTAGGTATACACCAAAGTTCGACGGTTCAAAGATATCAAATCTACAGATTGATCGAGTATATCTGACATATGTTCACTACGGAAAGTTTAAAGGGAAACCTACTTATCCAGATGCAATTAATCCTTGCTTGCGAATCACACAGTTTTTATGTATACTTTCGTGATATAGCCATTCCCCATTCATGTGGGGGATTGTTGGGTTTTTATGTATTTAATATATTAAATACTTAAAAGAGGGTGAATGGGAAATGGAGGAAAATGAAATTTTTGAGTGAAATTTTAAGTTCCCCCCCCCCCTTGGCAAAGGGACATTGTCCCATATTGGAAGAGGAAGAGGTTTTTTGTGAGTATATAAGCAATTGCTCTTCTTCTAGCTCTTAAAAGGTTGAGAAGAAGGCAAGCCTCGCGCCTTGTTTCCCCCATTAGCAAAGGGACATTATCCCATATTGGAAGATGAAGAGGTTTTTTATGGGTATATAAGCAATTGCTTTTCTCTAGCTCTTAAAGAGTTGATAAGAAGGCAAGCCTCACGCCGTCGTCGTCGTCGCTCGCTCGGCTTTGGATTTGGATTTGGATTTGGTCAAATGATCGATTGCTTGATTAATTTTTTGGACCAAATTTATTTGTTAATAGTAAAATATTAACAGAAATGTTATTAAATATTTGTCTTAATAACGGAATATTAATATTAAATATTAATATTATCCAATCCGTTTTTCTATTTTGGTAACAGAAAAATTAACTACCCTCTTCAATTTTCCCTCTTTATTGTTGAGTAAATAGCCATTTATGTTATGACATTTATGTTGTGGCCATTTTGCATAAACAACCATTCTGAAGAGTTGCACCTCTTCAGATTTCAGCCCAACTTTGGCTATAAATACAAGGCTATTCTGCTCAGAATATCTATACGATTTTCTGAGTTTTCCTCCTTCTTTTGCATACTTTTAGCATCAAACAAAGCAACAGTAAGTGTGATTTGCTACCGAATTTTGTGTTCAATAAAACACTGGGTTTGAAGTACCACTACACCAGTGTGTAATTTGTTCTATCCTATGAGGAAATAATCCATAACCTTGGGTACTAGGAGGGGATTAAATTCCTTAAGAAAACACTGTGAATTCAGTGGGCTCAAATTGGTTTTCTGTTATTTCGTTGTTCATTCCTGTTTATGTTCATTTCTGTTTATGTTCATTTATATTTCCAGAATTATTTTACAAATACAGTTTACTAACAATTACTAACTTGTTAGGTTTTGTTATTACGCTTTGCGACGAAAAACTGTGAAAACAACAATTCTACAACAATGACTTTTTCATTAGATAATTTAATCTAAATAGTCGTCCATCTAATCGATTAAATTAGAAATAAGCGATAGATATATAATATNATATATATATAGTCTGTGTTTAGTCTATGTACATTGGCTAGGAGAAGTAGACAATGAATTTAACCGGCTATTTGTGTAAAGATCCCTTCATTCATTTATGAGTGACCATTTGATGGGCCTCTAAAACTAAACAGTAAAAATTGCACGGGGCGCCCTATTTGGTCGCCCCTATTTAACTTATACCCATTTTTAAATTTTTTAATTTGTACCCACTTTTTAAACAACTTCAGCCCCCTTTCTCATCCTCCTTCTCCTCCTTCGTTTTCTTCTTCTTCTTTCTTCTGCTACTATTGGTGCTGCTATGAAACTTCAGTTCATGGGATGATTTCCATAGATATGTTTATTAGATTATTTAAAAATAAATTATAAATAATTACGTAAGTTAGTATACAATAATTTGTGAATATTTTCACATACATAAGTTAGTAGACAATGATAATTCTGTTCTTTTCACGTTTATTGTTTCAGAAATTTATGATTTAGATACTGTTGGCAATCTGATTATTTATCTAGTATATTAGAAAGTTTTTTCAAAAACTTCAGCTTATATAGTGCCGAAATTTTTACAAATGAACTAAATAACTTCAGCATCTTCTGCTGAAGTTTTTGAAAAAGCTTTATGACAAAACTAATGTATCGAGGACAAAAAAACTTCAGCTTTTAGTGTTGAAGTTTTTACAAATGAAGTAAATAACTTTAGCATCTTCTGCTGAAGTTTTTGAAAAAGCTTATCCAGGACAAAAAAAAATTTCAACTTATTTAGTGCTGAAGTTTTTATAAATGAACTAAATAACTTCAGCATCTTCTGTTGAAGTTTTTGAAAAAGCTTAATGACAAAACCAATGAATCCAGGACAAAAAAACTTCAGCTTATTTAGTGCAATTACAAATAAAAACTTCAGCAAATAGAGAACAAAACTTCAGCTACTATGCTTAAGTTCAGCAATTACAAACAAAAACTTCAGCAAATAGAGAACAAAACTTCAGCTACTATGCTTAAGTTCAACAATTACAAACAAAAACTTCAGCACACTTGGTTCAGCACACTTGCTACTTCAGGCCCGTCTACTAGAATGCTGAAGTTTTGCGTGATTGTCTTTGCTACTTCAGCCCCGTATGCTGAAGTTACGCGAAAAAAGGGGTACGTTTGCAAATTTTTTTACAAAGCGGACACAAGTTAAAACGTGACACAAAAACGGGTATAAATGCAAATGCCCCTAACTAAACAGTTAATGCCTTCTTGGGCCTAGATGGGCCTATTGACATTCTTTGGGCAGCTCTTGCAAAGTTGGGTGCGGATTAAGCCCAACCTTTCGAGCCCAAAATAAGCTCAATGTCTTTTCCTTAGCCCATTAGAAGAATTTGGAAATTGGTAAGTATAAATGATTAGTTGTGCCTAAGACTAATATCTAATGATGTGGTAAGAGATGGAAAATAATGTTTTACTAATTAGCAATTACTAGTGATTGATATCTAACAAATATAGTTTTCTTAAGTAATCATTGAAATTTAAGATAATTAAACGTATCTATGAGATTGAGTTGATTTGGAATTTAATTAAATAGTTTGGATTGTTTATTATGAAAACATAATTACAAGGAGAAAAGAAAAGGTAAAAATTGACTAATGTCCTAAAATTGAAATTTTTCCCTTGATTTTCATAAGGTCAATAACACGCAAAAAAAAAAAAAAAAAAAAAAAAAAAAAAGATTTCTTATCCTAATATTATGAAGCAACAATATCCAGTCAAAATTTTCCTCAATCTAAATAGTTTGGAAAGTTTTTCAAATTTTGTTTTCTTTAAGTACATTCTAGATTAGCAAAATATATGGCATCAAAAGGAAAATTATATAAAGATGTGCATAAAAAGAAATGCTGTTACACGCGCACATACCAAATATGTATGATTTCTTTTTCTTCTTCTTTGTACTTAATGATTTTACAAAGTTAGCAAAGACCTTAATTTTCTATACAAATATGTTAGTCAACAAAACAGATATCATTGTTAAACTGAGTTTTCATAATTTCTATAATTACTTAATATAGTCTCATCATAATCAATTAATTAAAACAATTAATATCCTTCTTAAACAATCGGTATTAATGTATGTTAGCTAAATTAAATACTAATCTTCAAATTCTACAATTACTTTATCGCCATCGCAATATCCTACAAAGTACAAAAGATCGTACCGATGAATTAAATACTAAAAATCGAATTTATAGATTATATACAATCTATATTTAATTTGCGTCAATATTCATCTATTTCTGAATCAACATCATATAATCGTCATTATTCGTACCTTGAGTCATTCCTACTATACCTCTAAACTGAACGTTAGCATGCAACAAGTAAAAAATCGTTATTGTTTAATGCTTGCAGACTCGAAAAATAATCTATTTTACGCCACAATAAATCACATATTTTTCATATAAATAGTCAAATATGAAGATTTCAATTATCCAATAAAAACCAAATTTGGAAAAAATGATAAATAAGGCCCAAAAAATTAATTTTCAAAAGCCCGAATCAAATATATATAATGGCCCAAAAATCCCCAAATATTACAAATTTTCAGTTTCTCCAACTGAACTATTTTCTCTCTCAGCACATCGGGCGTGCACACAAAAGCACAAAATACACACACACACACAGTTCCTCCATTTTAGTGAACTATTCTCTTCTTCAACCCCACCACCCCCTTAACCCACCCACCCCAAAACAATCCCCACCCACTTCCCCCTTCTGGGTTTTATCAGTTTTTATCATTTTCTTTGATTTTTTTCTCACAAGTTCCTACCTTTAATTTCAAGAATTTGGAAAATTTGAAGTCTTTAGAATTGAAAATTTTGATTCTAAAGTCGGGTTCATGAAATTAATATCAAAGATTTAAATGGAGAATTCTGCTGCTGCATCTGACGAGCCTCAAAAGAAGCGTCCTCATCTCAACACTGTTTTAATCTCCTCTCCTACGATGGCTCGCCATTCTAAAGCTTCTTCTGATAATAAAACTGTAAGTTTTTTTCCTTATTCTTTAATAGCCACTATTTGTTATTATTGTTTTTATGGTTATTTCTGTAACTGAATTTTTTTGCTGTATTTTAGCTTAGTTATATATATTTTTAGGGTTCTATAGTTTAAAAAAGAATGACCCTTTTCAATGTTTCATATGTGGTTCAATTTATTTTAGCTTAAGGCGATAAAAAGTATTTGTCTTTGCTTTGTTTGTTGATTTTTAGCTTAATGCTTTTATGGTTTTTGTAATTGAAGTGGTTGTATTGTATGTTAGCTTAGTGACATATGTTTTTAGGGTTGCATAGTTTGAAAAAGAATAACCCTTTTCATATGTGGTTCTATCTTTTTTAGTATAAGGAGATACAAATTGGTGTACTTTATTTTATTAGTTTGATTTTTAGCTTTAGTTTTTTTGTGAAAAGGCTTGTTGAGCTGTAAAAGCTCATTTGGTTGCTGACTAGTTTTCAGTTTTATGGATGAAATAGAGTGTGGTAGTTTATGCCATTAGAATCGATGTTTGTGTTTTTGCTATAAAACCTAAAGTTAGGACTTTATCTGCGATAAAGTTGTGATCTTGATGAGAGCTTGTTCAAGGATGATCAATTTGTTGTATGGATGATCCATTAGGGTATTATTTGCTGTAGTGGGCTAGTGATGAAAAGCACACCCAAGGGTTGTATCTTAAAGGTGAATGTCAATGAAGGTGGAATGTAAACCATGGCGAGCTAGGTTTGAATCCTAACTTTGGTAAAAAAATTAAGTTTATCTTCCCCCTCCCCCCCAAGTCTAGGTGGATAGAGGTACCTTATACAAGTATTGGTGGGAGGACGTAGGTACCCACTGGGATAGTCGAGGTGTGCGCAAACTGATCCTGATACCAAAGGTTTAAAAAAATAATGGAAAGAAAAAGAAAAGCACATCCCTAGCTATTGGTTTAAAGTTACTTATATGGAAAGAGTTGATCTTGATATCAAAAAGGAGTTTTATTAGGTTGTGCCTGCATGGGTGTTTTCTCTCTCTTGAGGTTCTTATTGCCAGATACTATCTTATCTCCTGTTAGTCTCAGTTGTTGCCTTATCTAAGTCCTATACATGTGCTGCTTTTTTTTTGTTCGATGTTTTGAAGGTTCTGGTTAATCTAAATGTTGAACGTCAAGTGATTGTTGTTCTATGATAACTTGGGGAATAACTGATATAAGTAAAATGGCGAAAGGCTCTCTCCCTCGCTTTTATTTGTCTAATAGAGTGAAAATCTTTTAAACAATGATATATCTTTCGAAATTTTAAATTTTGTGGGACTAAAGTTATAGAAGTTACAGTCTCAAGGGGATGGCCTAATGGTCAAAAGATGAAGCAACAGGTTTGGGAACAAAGGTTTGAACCCCAATAGAGGCTATATTAAGGAATTCTTTTGGTAGGCCCGCATTTTACGGGTGCCCCTTTGGATTCGGTGAGGACGTGAGGTTTACACAAGCTGACTGGAGAGTGCCATTACTGAAAAAAGTTGTACAAGTTACGGATGTACAGAACCGTCTATCTTAAGACATTCCTTTTTTGGGCGACTGTGGTATTTCCCTAGAGGTGCATCCTTGTTGATTGCTATTAATTACACATCTATCTCATACTATTAATTTCCCTCACCTTTTGTATAAATGTACTGCTAATCCACTAGTGCACAAAGTAACTTTCTGTTAGAAAATTGTGAAATGTATCATTGATTCATTGTTTCGCTAATTGATTTTAACTTTATTGCAAGAACTTCTTCTCAATTAAACACAACTGATTATCAAGTAGTCTTTGGTTAATGCGGTTTGGTGAATATAGAGCAATAACTGATAAAGGATTGCATATTGTTTAATCTTCACGTGGAAAACTTTGCCAATTTCATTGTGCCAGTCACTTGCTTTTGCTTATGGTGTGATAGTTGGTTCAGATAACTGAGCGTATATTGCCCAAAATAACTTGTCACTTGCCTTTGTATGATTGTGTATCCTACATATTACTGGACCTGCCATGAATTACTGCCCTTTTCTAGTTAGGTAAATGCTATTGTTTTTTTTTTTCCTGTGTAATTATTAGGAAGCCTTTATTATAAGATGTGATCATTGTGAACCTTAAGGGGGTGCACTTTTAAACTGCTTATGCCTTCATTAACTAGTTGCTAAGTTAATACGACGATAGGTGCGAAATGCCAAAAGAAATTTGCACTATTCTGCCAACTTAGAGGAAGAGAATGGAAAGAACTTCAAGTAAAGATGGATGCTATAAATGGAGGTTGATTTTCTGCGTTGCTTCTTCCTCTCTTTGGCATGTTCTTCCTTGTCCTTATCCTCTCAAATACTCTCCTCAGTTCTCCGGCCTAAAAAATGTGAACCACCATTGAATATGTTTCACACGGTTTTCATTTTTTGCAAAATATTATCCATTCAACTAGAAGAGCTCAAACATATCTAGGCACTTAACAAGCATCCAAGGGTGTGGCCTAGTGGTCAATGAAGTGGGTGAGAACCATGAGGTCTCAGGTTCAAATCCCAGTGGAGGCAAAAAATACTAGATGATTTCTTCCTATCTATCCAAGCCTTGGTGGATAGAGTTACTTGGTATCAGTTGCTGGTGGGAGCTGGCAAGTATCCCGTGGAATTAGTCGAGGTGTGCGCAAGCTGGCCCGGACACCACAGTTTTAAACAAAATATCTAGGCACCTAACAAATCTGAAAATAAAACCTTCAAAATAGTTGAACGACGAAATCGTCAATAATCATCATTTTAGTAGCAAAGTGAATTTGGACACTGTAAAAGAACACAAAGCTTGTTCAATATTGTGTGGTCATGAAGAAATGAAACTTCTGAACAATTGGAGGACGTCATTCACTTCTAGTTTGTGTACAATTACAATTTTGTTTGGCTTGACCAAATTTAGGATGAAACTAAATCACCATACATCTTATTTACCTTTATTGTGGATCAAATCAAATTTAGTTTGACGAGAGAGTTGTAGCAAGTACTCGGAGTAAGAAATTTTCTCTTTTAGCATTTCAAAACAAATGCGTCTTCCGTAGCCATCACACCAAAAAAAGGAGGGAGCTATGAACATCAAGGACTACAAGCCTCTAAGTCCAATGGGAAATATCTACAAGGTAATTTCTAAGGTGCTTTCTAGTAGAATAAAGAAGGCGTTGGATGAGACAGCGTGTGCCTCTCAGAATGTATTCGTGGAAGGATGACAAATCTTAATGCAACTTTAATGGCAAACAAAGTGGCTGACTCTAGAAGGAAGCAGGGAGAGCCGGGGATCTTGTTGAAATGGGAACTTAAGAAGGCCTGTGATCGTGTGAACTGGGAGTTCCTGGCTTTGTAATGTTGAAAATGGGATTGCAGGATATGTGGCGGAATTGAATTTAGTTCTGGTATCAACACTCAGATTCCTGGTCTTAGTGAATGGCAGAATTAAGTTCTGGTATGAACGGTCAAATTCTTGGTCATAGTGAATGGCAGAACATGTAGTTCTTTTGGTAGCTCGAGGGGTTTGAGACAAAGGAACTGCTATCTCCTGTGCTATTCATTTTTTTATGTTAACATATGTAGGTAACTAGTTATTCCGTCCATCTTAAAGTAATAGAATTTTGATTTGATAGAGCTGTCTTGAAGGTTGGGAGAGGGGGGGAAGTGGACATCGGTCCCCAAAGAAGGAAGGTTACAGCTTTTGGCTGTAATGAGTCTAACTTTAGGTGAGCTGATTTTAGATATGAAATTTTCCCTGTCTAAAATAGTAAAAATTATTTTGAATTTCAAATTTGGGACATCTGCGGACAGGTTGGTTTTGATTTGAATATCTGCCTTTTGGGGAAAATCCTGCTCACTGTGTTACTTAATTATCTGATTACCTTTTTTGTTTCCTTCTGTCAGTATATGAACGTCTTGTTCTTTAGTTAATTTTTTTATGGGGCATATCTCAATTCCTTATCAGCACGAAACTTACTAAATCTTGTGATGATAGTGACACTAACAGGACTATCATGGTTATCTTGTAAAAGTTCTTCCTAGAAAGTAACATTACTCACCAGGAAAAAAATTAAAATTAAAAATAAAATCAGCAAGAACTTTATTGGTAGAATCTTGCACAAATTTTGTTTCCTTTAGACGCATCTGTTGCGAAAATACAAGAGTGCATGTATGTATATATATATATATGTGTGTGTTCCTTTAATTCAGAGAAGCAACATTCTTATATTTGCGCTACTGGTCAATATATGCTCATAATTGTGCAGGGATAACTCAATTTAAGAGGTAAAGTAACATATCCTTAAGAGTTAAGTGTTGCAGATGGCTTTGTGAAATTACATATTTTTTTTTAATCATCTTCCTCTAACCTGATGTACAGTGTTTTCCTCTGCTTTTGCTTAAGAAAATAAATAACTCTTGATGTTTAAAAATTACATGATATTTTTATTTGGAAACAATGTTAATGAGAAATTCCATTTTCTTTGTTATATGTGGATGAATTGAAGGTATAGCTTGGGTTCCAAAAATGTTTAATTTTTTTGATAACCAAGAAATCCCCTAGGGTTAATGGCGCATGGTTCGAAACTCAGTGGATGATGGGCCTGCCTCTACACTTCTCCAATTAAATGCCATGCTTTTGTCCGCCAGGGTTCGAACCCGTGATGTGCGCCTAACCCACACATTACTCGCTGCACTCTTACAACTAGAACAAAGTCTTAGGGGCCCAAACATGTATGAAATTTAATAAAGATGGATGAAAGATTGGGTTTCTTTTTTTGACAGGTTGATGCTGCAGTTCTCCATTATCAAAATCAAAAACTAGTTCAGCAGTTAGATGCACAGAAACATAAGTTGCATGATCTTGAAGCCAAAATGAAAGAATTGAGGGACAGACAAGCTTCTTATGATAACTTCTTGGTTAAGTTAAATCGAATCTGGAATCAGGTAACTTCGTTAGGTATCCTAATTGTGTGGTGATTGATCTAAATAGCCTAACTTGTGATTTGCATTGGTTTGATGGTCTTCTAAATAATTCCATGTAGCTAGATGATGATCTGATTCTCCTTGGAGCATCCAGTGGGGCAGATCAAATTGCTTTGAAGAGCTTGGATCATCTAGATTATTCTCGAGGTTGGCTGTTACAAGTTTAAGTGAATTTGGGTTTCTTTATTATCCTGGAAGCTCAATATAGAAAAGATAAGCTCCTTTGCATTATATTGGGAATAACTCGTTGATTTCTAATAACATTTAGGTTCAGTTCCATCTTGTCCTGCGGAGGAAATGTTCCTGTGTAGGGTGTTGAAAACCAATGATATTCCAGGCGACGCCAATGCTGGATCCATTGTGAATATCAAGGAAGCTCTTGATCTGCGCCATTCTTCTACTCTTGAGTTGATGAAATCGTTGGAAAACGCTATTGATGCTCAGCGTATTAAAACTGAAAATCTTACTCATGTTTTGGAAGGAAAGCCATCAGCAGAAGGTTGGGAACCTGGAAAGACCTTGATGTGGTCCTACTTCCCCCCCTCCCCCTTTATTCTCTGATTACTTTGCAAGCGTTAGTTTTCTTCAGAATTTATTTTGTTACTATGTACTATGTATAGAACTGGTGCTTGAATCTGGTCTAATCTGATTATTTTACCATCATTGGAATTTTTCAGATGCTATCATTCTTTTAAGTAAGATCGATGATATGATGAAAGATGAGGCTAATTATCTCCGTCAAGTAATTGATGTTCTTCATTTGAAACACAAAGAATATGCTGATGCAATCGAAGCTTGTAATCAAAGCCATTCAGTGGATCAATCTGAGTTAAAGCGCCTTGAAGGTATTTGCAACATTCCTTTGTTCCACACGTGAACACAAGTTTTTAGCTCATACGCATTCATTTGTGAAGTCTCTTAAGTACAATCAGTGTTATGAGTTACAGATCAACATTGATATCAAATTCTGGGGCATATGTATGTGGTTGTTCAAATTGATATGTAATGTTTAGCTTTAACCATTGTGTATGATGGCATAGATGTGCATGTCTATTTTTCAGCTCATACATGTACCTAATGTAAGGTATTGAGTACAATCAGTAAAATTAATTAGCATTGCGAGTTAGAGTTCAACTTTGATATCAAATTGATTGGTGTTTGGTATATGAATTTCAAATTGGAGATGTAGCGTTTAACTTCAGGCATTGCATATGGTGACATGGATGTGAATATCTATTTGTATTGGCTAACGTCTTTTAAGCAGCTGCCACTGTGCCTTGAATATGTCTCTTTTGCTAATGGTAAAAGGTGAGCTGGAGGAAAGCATGTCAGAACTTGAAGATAGTAGAAGGAAGTTAGTTACTCTGAAAATGCAGAAAGATTTGGCATCTGGGGGGCAGGTAACAGTTTCAAGTGCGGTAAATGGTAGTATGTCACCAGAGAAGCCTACAGACCGAACAAAAGGTGTGCGGGAACTGAAGGAGTCTATAGAAGAGGCAAAGGTACCGTCACTATAACTTACCCTGTGTCTTGCCTGCGTGATGTATGCACATTTAAATGTGATGTTTTGATTGCAGGCGCTGAAAGAGGACCGCCTCTCTGAGCTTCAAGATGCCCAGGAAGATAATCTACATTTGTTGAAGCAGTTGCAAGATCTTCAGGTTTTCACCAAGAATTTCCTGGATTCAGTTTTTCAAATTTAAAATGTATTTGACATTAAAATGCCAAGTGCATTTATATGTTGTGAGGCTAAATTGTGATTTTTCTTGACCATACAGAATGAACTAAAGGATGACAGATACGTGTCTTCATCTCGTGCTTATACCTTACTCCATGATCAACGTCACCATTGGAATGCTGAGGCAGAGCGATACAAAGCTCTGACAGACTCTCTTCAGGTTAAGCTACATTACTCTTCATTTCACATTGTGGTTTAGATGGTACCTAGCTTGTCGTCTTTGCTTATAATTAAATTCAGGCTGACAGGTCTTTCATCGTACGGAAGGAGAAAGAACTGGTTATGAAAGCAGAGGCTATGGATTCAGCAAGGAAAGCAGTTGATAACTCCGAGTCAAGGATTGAGGAATTGGAGCATCGCATGCACAGATGCATTATTGGAAAAAATGAGCTGGAAATCAAAATGGAAGAAGCAATTCAAGATGCAGGTCGGTGTATTTTCGAGTCAGATTTTTCTGTTGGTATGTTTATGTAATAATCTGCTTACTTGAAGGTAGACTTTTGTAGGAAGAAAAGACATTAAAGAGGAGTTTCAGGTGATGGGCTCTGCTTTATCAAAAGAAATACAAATGATGGAAGCTCAGCTGAATCGTTGGAAGGAGACAGCTAAGGAAGCTGTTTCCTTACGTGAAGAAAGACAGTCATTGGAAGCTTCAATAGGAAGAAAGGTTTGGTCTTGGTGCCATAATATGATTTATATCTTATTACTTCTCAGTTAATGAAAAGGAGATCAATTTCTTAACTAGGAAAAAAGGGATTGGGGTGTCCATTAAGATAACTAATGGAAGATCTTTTTTCTTTGAGAAGGTAATGGAGAGTGTGTTACATCAATGCTGCTGTTAAATCTTTGTGGAATTATTTGCCTTGTGATCTTGTGTTTTGGGTTCTTCGGGTTTCTTTTGGGTGGGGGTGGCGGGTCTATCACCAGAGTGTCCCTAGTGAAAGGTCAAAGTTGTAAACCCCACTTGTCTCTGGTTTCCCTTGCCCCTTCCCCACAAACACCCAAAATAAAAATAAAAAAGGGAGCTGAAAGAATAGGGAACATACATATTATATTTCAAGTGATTCCATTTTTATTTCTGAGCCTTGGTGGGCACTAGCCAGTGTTACCCGATACTTGTGCTGGTAGGAGATGGCAGGTATTTGGTGGGAATAATCGAGGTGCGTGTAAGCTGACTTGTACACCATCGTTTTGGAAAAATAGGCAGATGTTATTTCAAGTAACTCCATTTTTTTGTTCTGAAATGGTTCAACTTGTTGCTGTAGGCTACTGAGCACAAAAACTTGATCAATAAATGTGCTCACCAGACTGGGGAGATCCGAACGCTAAAGGAACTTGTAAGTTCTTTAGCATAGACCTTTGCTTGTTCGTTACCAAGTTCTGTCCTTGTCATTACAAGTTACATGCCCGAGTCTTCTTGCAGGCTGAGAAGATGCAGAGGGACAAACAGGAACGTCAAATATTCTTGGACATGCTTGGCCAGCAAATCTATGACAACAGGTAGATTAATTTATTTCACTTCTTGGGATTTAACCTGTGATAAAATAGAAGTATCTGTGGCTCTATTTTATTAATCGACACAACACGTGTATGTGTGTGTGTGTGTTGTATGTATGTGTTATATGTATATAATAAATATATGTCCTCGTGTTCTATTGGTTGTCATATGTTACTAGAGATGATGTGAAAATAATTAAGTGGCAATAAACGATCTCACAAGCGCATATGAGAATCAAAATGTTTGGGGATTGCAACTGATATAATTTAAAAAAAAAACATTTGTGGAGGTTGCAAAGACTGGTTCCACTTTGTCGACCTGCAGTATTTAGTTGGAGAAGAGTATAGGGGTGGGCCCATTATTTATCGAGTTTCAAACCGTGTGCCAACAGGCGCTCGGGGACTTTCTCAGTTAGCAAAAGAAGTATGTTTTCACTAAATTAGTAGTCTCCTGTATTCACAACAAGACTTTGACCACTTTGCTAGAGACATAACGGAAATCAGAGAGTCGGAGAAAAGAGCTCACGCACAAGCTGAAATTTTGAGAGCTGCTTTGAATGAACATGATTTGGAATTGAGAGTGAAAGCTGCTAATGAAGCTGAGGCTGCTTGTCAGCAGAGGCTTTCCGCTGCTGAGGCAGAAATTGCAGAATTGAGGGCAGAACTGGATGCTTCTGACAGGTTCCTTTTTCTGATGCTTGCTTCTAAACTTATGATGCATTTTCAGGTTATCATAATTTGTGTCTTTCTGGAATGTCTATGTACTTGCGTGAAAATTGTGTCACCTTGATGCACCAACAACAGTTGGCCAGTCTGTCAAATGCCTTTTATCTTTTTTTTGATGACGGTGGTGTCCGCCCAGCTTGCGTCCACCTAGACATGAATATATCTGCTTTAGACAACACCTATTTAGAAATAAAAATAAGCAGCCAAAAAAAAAAAAAGAAGAGGTACTAGCAGTAGGTATCCTGCTACCAATGTATGTCCACATGTATATATCTGCTTTATCCGGTGTGCATCCATCATCTATTTAAAATCTAATAATGTTCTTCTGTGTATCCAATGTTGATCAAGCTTACCAATTTATTAGAGACACTCCTCTTTATCCTGTAACCATATAAGGTTTCCTTGCAGAGGTGTTTTAGAGCTAAGAGAAGCGATAAAAATAAAAGAAGGGGAATCAGAAACTTATATTTCCGAGATTGAGGTACTCAACTGGATGTGTTTGTTACAATTTATTGCATCACTTTCTCTCTGTTGCCTTTCTTCTGATCTATTTACATTTAGACTATTGGTCAAGCCTATGAAGACATGCAGACACAGAACCAACATCTTCTCCAGCAGCTGGCAGAGAGAGATGATTATAACATAAAGGTCTCTATTATTATATTTCCCTTTGTTGCAATGAATATTCTACACCCGGTGGTCATTCATAGGGAGTGATGCAGTTGACCTGTAGTCATGTTTACTTCTGCTTTTCAAGTGCAGTTAGTATCTGAGAGCGTGAAGATAAAGCAGGAACAAAGCTTGCTTCTCTCTCGGAAGCAGGTATCAACAGGTAAACTTCAAAAGGCTAAAACATCACTGGAATCTCTGAAAATGAGGATGGCTCAAAGTGAAGACCAGGTAGCCTTTTGCCTCTTTTGTGGCACGTAGAGGTTTAAGTTGGAATTGTTTGTTCTTTTCTCAACCATTATAATATGTTGTAGATGAAAGTTCACATCACGGAAGCTTTAAGTTATATCCAAGAAGATAGACATCTTGCAGTCACCCTGGAAACTGCCAAGCGAGAATTGGGAGATGCTGATAAGGAATTGAAGTGGCTGAGATCTGCTGCTTCCTCCGCTGATAAGGAATACGAACAGCTCAAGAGGAAGTTGGCCGAAATAGGGGTGGAGCTGGGAACTGAAAGGTGATATTCTTTTCAACAAACTCTTTTTATTACCCCCCCACCCCCCAAAACAAAAATCATGTGTACGGTAACCCTTAGTAGTTTAGTTTGCTATTTTACAAAATTGAGGTTGGATGTAGATGACTTAGCCTTATGTGGATAAATGTTCTTTAATCTAATGTCTGTTGTACAATAGACCCTTGGCATAACTGGTAAAGTTGTTGGCATGTGACCAAGAGGTTACGGGCTCGAGCCGTGGAAACAACCTCCTGCAGAAATGCAGGGTAAGACTGCATACAATAGACCCTTGTGGTCCGTCCCTTCACCGGACCCCGTGCATAGTGGGAGCTTAATGCACCGGGCTGTTCTAATCTAATATCTGCTGTAGAATGTGAGCTAATGAGCAATCTGCTGGTTGCCTGGCTTTATCTTTCTGTTGTACATCTTGAGGTTAATTATAGCTAATTGGAGCATAGATAAAACATGCATTACTGGTCTAAAGGTCAATGCTCTGTGCACAGGACTTTTTGGACTGGGTCCTGAATATAGTCTATTCAAGCCTTATGGCTTCAGCTGTGTGTTGGAATTTAGCATTTGCATGTTTCTGATCTTATAAAATGTTCTTGCTCATGAAGAAAAATAATCTGTTTGTGCATCTGCTATGAGTTCTTTCTTTATTCAGAGTTCATGAAAATTTTGCTAATCTAGGAGTGAGAAAAAGAAGCTTGATGAAGAGGCAGTGGAGTTGAACAGAACTGTTGATGAGTTGACTTCTGCAAGTGGCGAGGCTGCAGTACAAAAACTGCAGGATGAAATCAATGATTGCAAGGCTATTCTCAAATGTGGAGTGTGTCTTGATCGGCCAAAAGAGGTGTGTACATGTGTTCCTTTTTGCTCCGGAAGTGGGTAGTCTTATCTGGTTGAATACTTTGCCGCAAGCATATATTTTTCAATTCTAGTTCAGGATACTCGGTTCCCTTCTGTGTTTTAGAGTAAAGGTTGACCGCAAGAACAGGGTTTCTTCTGTGAATATTTGATGTATAAATGCCCCTAGAACCACTTAGGGCTACCTTGTATATTTATAAAGTTCAAAACGCCATATCGGTTTTGTAAATCTAGAAATGGCTTCTTGTAGGTATAGAGTTCGGTTATTATTTATTATGCGCTAGCAATGCTTTGAACCTGATTCTGTTCCTTTAAATATTTGGCAGGTTGTAATCACAAAATGTTATCATCTCTTCTGCAATCCATGTATTCAGAGAAATTTAGAGATTCGTCATCGCAAGTGCCCTGCTTGTGGAACTGCTTTTGGACAAAACGATGTTCGTTTTGTGAAAATCTGACCAAACTCTGTCAGTTGCAGCTCGCTGAACATGTACATTATTGCTGTTCTCTGAGGGTATCGTTCGAGAAGCCTACTAGGGGCAGAATTCATACCCTTGTGAAGAAGAAAGTGCTACCTTTTATTTTTTCCTTTCAATTTTCTTTTCCCCCCTTAGGGGTGCACCCATTTTTTTCTTTCTCCACATCTCTTTACTCAATACCTCTTTATATAGTCTTTTTTTGTTACCCACATCTCTTCTCTTAGTCTCTCTTTATGTAGTCCTCTTTATTTTTTCTTCACATCTCTTTCTCCCTTAAATCCTTGATTTAGCAGGTCTTCTTTCAACTGTATTTTGTTACAAACAGTGTAAAGCTTTATCATGTAGTGAGTTTTCTTAATGGTATTGAAGCATCTTCTATGAGATTATTATTATGTAGCTTAGTGAGATGGCAGGTTTCTGCATGTCATTTTTGTTCCAAAATTTATATGCCACGTCAGTGTCATGTCAGCATTTGTGTTTACGTGTTAAACTTTATACAAGTTGAGGTGACTACTTGTGCACCCCTAAAGTTGGAGGCATACTTGCCGGCTGAAGCCAAGTTTGAGGGTCTGTTTATGTATTATGCCATCTTTGTGTATAGTACATTTGCCTGACTTTGGTACATTGATTTTTGGGCATTGTCTTTTGTTTACTGCATTGATGAAGTGAAGGGAGCTGAAATGTTTCATCTCTCAGAGATAAAGGTTTTAGTTGAACTGATTGATGTTGAATGTTGTATTCCAGAAGTTTGCTTATTTTGTACAAATCAGTGGGAGGGTCCAAAGGAAGCATCTTAACTTTGTAACTAACCAAAGGAAAAATCAAAGAGATTTTTTATCCGTAGACTATTTTCACAAGGTTGGGGTAAAGTTTGCACACGTACTGCCTTGATGGTTGTTATGTTATCATAGAGAAAATTGGAAAATAAGCGGATTTAAATCATATTTTTCATATAGTAGAAGATATCACCAATACTTCTAGTTTAGCAGCTTCGTTGAGAGTTTCTAGAGCTACTCATGGCGCATTACCTCAAGGATGACGTATAGTTTTTTTGCCGAATTATATTACAGAATCATCTCAAAGATTTCAGTCAGAGCTGATGTATATCAAACGTGAATTCCTCCTTTAAAAAAATACTGCTGCTTTGATCTTGCTCAACAAAATCATTACAGCAAAATAATATATGTAGTTATGTTTACCCTTAAAATTGGATAAGGATTGAATTTTACGCGATTTTAAGGATACGTGATATAACTTGATACATATTAATATTGAAATTAACGACAATAAAATAAATTCAAACTACAAAATTGACTAGCCTTAGCTTCTGAGTTTGATCACCTCCGAGCCAAGAAATATCTCAACTAATGTTTAGACCTGAACAACAAGATGATAAGAACTAGAAATGATTAGTATATTGCTTTCTTTTGGTGTGTTACAAATGATCAGAACCCCCTTTAAAAAATATCATGATATGCTAATTAATTGGCCTCTTCTTGATACGTGCCGAGATTTTTGCCGTGATTCTCGACCGATTGCGGATATTTCGGCTTTCCGTTATTTGACTTGGTAAGTTTTCCTCGATCTTGCTTGGTCTTGATCTTGCTCGATCTCGATTTTTGAGTCACGAGCTCGACGATCTACTTTTGCGCCTTGATTCGATATAACCCGAGCTAGAACTTTGACCTACCATATATCAGCCTCGAGTGGACAAACAAATGGACGAACCTAGTTTTGAGCGTATACAAGTTCAATATTCATTTTCTCATTTTTCCTGATCTTCAATATATAAAATTTTGAAAAAGATATAGACTACAAGGATGGTCTTCTCATCTTTTTAAATTCTGTTTCCTTATTCATAAAATTAAAGTATTTGCCTTACATCATTTTCCTTTGTGAGATAATAACTACAAAGCCTTTGGATGGGTCCCACTATATACTTCATTTTTGGATTTATTCGTAAATTATCAAACCTTATGTTTATCCACATTCCATACCTTAAAAAAATATCGACCTATCTACTCAGCCAAAACAATCATCAAAATGACACCGTTTCACCTCAGAATTTACTTCTTATATAGTAATCTCTATAAATATCTCTCAAAGAGCTTCCGAAATCTTCACTCTCTCACTTTATTTCACTTTCCAAATCCAATCAAAAGCAATGATTCTACAAACCACAACCCATTCCTTCACATTTTCATCTCAACCCATTTCAAGAAACAATCTTTTCTTCAAAAATCTCACCTTTTTCACTTCTCCTTTGTTACCCAAATCTTTTTTACCTAATCTTGATTACAAGTTTTATTTTGGTAACAAAAGGAACTCACTTAGTGTTGCTAGTGGTAGAACTAAAACAACCATTGATGCTACTTTGCTTGAAGCTCCTGTAATATGGGCAGGTAGAGTTTGTGTTTTTTATGCTCTCTTGAAAGCTGGCTTAGCTGGATCTCCTTCTAATCCACTTGTCTCAGGTATTTTTTTTAAAGATAAAAAGCATTAAGAATAGGCAAATGGGGTTGTGTTTTTTATATGAAAAGTATGGGATTTGAGTATTTAGATTGATTTGTAGTGTAATAATGAGAAATGGGGTTATTTTGCTTTATGTGTAGAAGTGTTTTTTTTGAGTCTTTAGCTTGATTTGTAGCGTGTTAATGAAAAAATGGGGGTTCTTTCATTTACTTAGGAAGTGTGGTTTTTGATAATTTAGCTTGATTTGTAGTAGTGAGAGATGTTTTTTAATTTTTATTATATATATATATATATATGGGAAAGTATGGTATTTGAATATTTAGCTTGATTTACAGTGTGATATTGAGAAATGGTACTGCTTTGTTTACTTGGGAAGTGTGGTTTTTGAGTATTTAGTTTGATTTGTAGTGTGATAATGAGAAATGGGGTTATTTTGCTTTATGTGTAGAAGTATGTTTTTTTGAGTCTTTAGCTTGATTTTCTAAATTGTTAATGAGAATTGGGGTTGTTTCTTAAATGGAAAAAACATGATATCTGATATTTAGCTTGATTTGTAGTGTGCTAATAAAAAATGGGATTGTTTTGTTTACTTGGGAAGTGTGATTTTTGAGCATTTAGCTTGATTTGTAGCGTGTAATGAGAAATGGGATTATTTTGCTTTATGTGGATAAGTATGTTCGTTTAGTCTGTAGCTTGATTCGTAAATTTTTAATGAGAAATGATGTTTTTTTATATGGAAAATCGTGATATCTGATATTTAGCTTGACTTTTAGTGCGATAGTGAGAAAGTGGGTTGCTTTTTTTTGGTATGGGGAAGTATGATATTTGAGCATTTAGCTTGATTTACAGTGTAATAATGAGAAATGGGGTTGTTTTTTTACATGGGAAAGTATGTTATTTGAGTATTAAGTTTGATTTACAGTGTGATAATGAGAAATGGGGTTGTTTTTTAGTATGGGAAAGTATGATATTTGAGTATGTATTTAGCTTGATTTTTGGTGTGTTAATGAGAAATGGGGTTGTTTTGTTTATTGGGGAAGTGTGGTTTTTGAGTCTTTTAGCTTGATTTGTGATGTGTTTTGGTTGTAGATTTGGAGGCTGATGGGAATGCTGATTTGGGTTTTGCCAAATGGTTTGAAGAGTTACAAAGCAAACCAGGTTTGTGGAGTTTCTTTGGTACATCTACTTTTGTTTGTATTTGTGCTCTAGGAATGAAGATTTGTACTGTATGAGTTGATCTATTGATATGCTGATCAACAATCTTCACTAGTCTTACTTCTAGAAAAATACTGGCTAAGTAGAGTGGTTCTTTCTTTTTTTCTTCTTTTTAATTCTTGTGGCAATTGATAGGAGTATTACTTACATGACCAGCTGTTTTGATCAATGTTCTAAAGTCAAGACTAGCTTAGGAAAAACCAACATAGTAGTTGGACATAAACTATATTTTGATGGGGTTTTAAGTCTTGAGCTCAACTTTAAATCCTTAAGGGGTCGTTTGGTATGGTGGATAAGCAAATATAATCCTGGGATAAAAATCTAGTACCACCTTATCCCTTGTTTGGTTACTAATTCTGGGATAGTTATCCCAGAATTAAAAATAGCACCGGGATAACTTACACATGCCAGAGGATGGAATAATAATCCCAGGATAAAGTGGTAAAATTAATAACCCAGGATTAATACAACATACCAAACAGTCAATAAGAAATAATACCAATATAACCAATCCCAGTATAACTAATCCTAGCATAACTAATCCCAGCATAACTAATCGCAGCATATCTTGTCTTCAAACCAAATGACTCCTAAGAGCTTTGTTAAGGCCTCATGGTTTTGTATCTGAGAAGAACTTCCAGATTAATAGGAAGAAAGATTAATCGGAATGAATAATAACTTTTCTTCTATGATCGATCAACATAAACATCAACACCTATAGCACAAAAAAAAGGGCTATGCTCTTTGTGCTGTCTTACATTGCCATAGGACACTGATTCTCACCTCCTTTGTCCTCCTTTTGGATGAAAGCAGTTGGAAGTGGACAAAATGAGGATTAACGAGAAGGGAATAACAACAATAAGAATTTGAATCTTCTTAATACATTCATGTTAATGGAAAATGTATTTTTGTCGTCGTACATGATGTTACTTGAACAAGTAGTTGCTTTGACAATGCCACTTGCTACCTCCAGCGGTCGTACATTTGCCACTTGCTATTGATAAATCTGTTCTGTTCACTCTTTGTTACATATGATTTACATATTTGTAAATGTAGTTGCTGCTTATCTGCAGACCAGTTATTCTCTGAACATTTTCTGCCGCTTGGTAAATGAAAAATTTAATGAAATTCTTGTTTACCAGAGAAGGAAGCTTCTGACAGAAGGAAATTAGTGAGCAAATGGCATCCCACTACTAAGGGAACACTAAGACGAAATTACAGGATACCATCTAAACCTGAAGGGCGACGCCTTCTGAAAGCCATTGCTTCCTTGTTATCAGACGATGACCACTTCAGAGATGCCACTTCTCACAAGGTAACGAGACCTTCAAATTTTTTTAGGTGTTGAACTACATAAATCTTTGTTCAATATTTCCTAAGAAGTATTTATTTTATCCTTCAGGGTTGTCAGATTAGGAGGGAGAGTGCTCATGGAGAAAGTGTCTGTTGCAACAATGTGCGAGCGTTGTTTGATGAGCTCCCCACGCCACATCTTACTGTCGAGATCACCCCTTTCCCTGCTGGTCCTCTAACTGAAAATGACTATGCAAAAGCTGAAAAACTAGAGAGGGTACTTAGATCAGGTCCTTCTGTCTAATTAGAGTAAGCCATATTGAACTCCTTTTCGTATGTATTTCTTCTCTTTGTACATAAGCAAGAGAAACTTGTGCAATGTTCCTACACCCCTTTTCCAACAATTTCTTGATTATTAAACAAAA